AAACTTTTTTTTCTAAAACTTTTGGCAAAAATATTTTTTTTTCTAAGAATTTTTCAAAAAACAAATTTTAATTTTATTTTCAAACTTTTGTTCAAAATTCTTAGCAAAAAAAAACTTTTCAAAAACATTTTGTTTCTAAAAACCTTTTCAAAAAAACTATACTTTGATGAGAAACATGCATCAAAATTTTTCAACATCTGACCAAAAATTAGGGTTCGCCTAATTTCTTTACAAAAAAAATATCCAAAACATTTTTTTTACTAAACTTTTCCAAAAACTTTTTTTTTTCTAAAAAACTTAGTTTCCAAAACTACACTGTGGTTTATACACACCTTAAATTTTTTCTTTTTTTTTTTAAATATATTTTTTGAACAATTTTCCAGGGATTTGATGGATTCCCACAGAAAACACTGGGCTCCACCATCTGATAAAATAGGACATTTATTAAAAAGAGACAGCATTTATTAATCAGCATTTACTGTTTGCAGATTTATGCCACAACTGAGTAGAATCAGGAGTTTCAAGGTTTTTCAGTCGACCCGCTGCAGTCGCCGACAGCCTCTCAAAGAACTTCTCTTCCATCAAACACACGTAGAGTTGAACGCACGACTCGCGGCGGAGCTCAGACTCTCAAAGATACCGTGTGTGTGTGTGGATGGACCTGGTGGACGGGGGCGGGGGACGGCTGTCGTCCTGCTGCTCAAACTCATGACACGTGACTTTGACTTTTGACGTCTCAAAAACCAACTCTCAAAGGAACAATGTTGACGCTCCAGGTCGTGGGTCGTGGACGTTCCAGGTCGTGGGTCGTTGAGATCGGCGTCACAGTCCAATAACTTATTGTGTGCAAAAAGATCGTCATCGAGTGTCTGAACTCACAAACCTTGCGACGATGTTAGGATGGAGTGGACGACATTTCTTTGGTTCATGGTGGAAAAATACAACAGGTCTGCCCTCACCAGGTGACACAGGTGAACTGAACATGTTTTTCACATTTCAGAAGAATCTTGAATCAGCATTTGGCTTTCGTCAAAGACGAGCGAGGTCGCCGACAGATTGCGGCCGTTAAAACGAGTCGTCCACAGTCGTGCATTGACTGAAAGGCTCACTTCCGAGACGAGTCAAAGGTGAAGAATTAAAAAAAAAAAAAAAAAGATCAAAGGAACGTCCAGGTGAATAAAAGTCGAGCAATTCCAAGGCAACAGAAGACAAAACGAGCAACAAACGCCACAACAAATGCTTTTAAAAAATGCACAAAGCAGTGCAAAAGGTCACACCCACAAAACTTTTTTTTTTAAAAAAACAATAACAACAACATCCTGAGGGGGAAAAAAAAATCCAAACGTACATTATAAAGCCCCCGCCCCCAGTGTTAATTACAGGAAGTGGAAGAGCCCACGTTTCTAATCACTTCATGGGGCTGCCTCGTTAAATTACTAGATGTATTCGTACCAGCAACCGATCACGCCGCTAAAACACATGACTTTGTACCTTGTACTGTAGGCGGGCGGACCAGCTGAGGACCCCGCCCCCCCAGAAAAACCCAGCAGCACCAGGACCTGGAACCGTTTCTCCAACCACTGTACAACAAAACCAGGGGACAAGGTGGGACACACTGATGTACATCAAAGAAGGGTTCGACAAGACAGCGCCCCCTCCTGAGGAGGAAAAGCGGGAGGAGAAAATGGTTCGAAGACAGAGACAAAGGAAACGCTGATCAAATGAGAAAAAAAAAAGGCAGAGGGAAACAACGTCCAACCAGAGAGTTCAATAAATACCAAGAATCCTTTGAAGTCCAACTTAACTTTCACATTCAGATACTTCAAAGGTTTAGGCCACACGAGAGGAGACCAAACACGAGGGACGGGCTGAAGGAGGAGACGCGGACCGGTAGACATTTCTACCGACATCAATGTTGTGCTTTTTCCATTCCTCCCATAGGCCGTCTGGCGCCGCCCTCTGAGGACGGACAGGTCGGCGTTTGTTCGGGGAAAAACCTTCGATTATTGATCAAATACACGGGTTTGGGTGCAGTCGCTGCCCTCTGCCAGTAGGGGTGTAGGAAAATGTCAATACGCTGAAGTATCGCGATATCGTATCAATCTCCTCCGTTGTCAGTTATTGATTTTTTTTTCCAGTCCGATATTTCTTTTCTTTCTTCTACAGTGATTCCAAACGTCATAAAATAAACTTTAAAGATTCTTTGGCAAAACAAAAAGACGTGCGGGCAAAATGCGAAGAAATTAATTAAAAAAAAGGCAAAAGTGACCGAGAATCGCAGCAGAGTTATGTCATCACCGAACATTAGCCGCTCTGCCTCTCAGCCAATGGGATTCAAGCACTGCCGTGACCGGTCAAATCCGTCCGATAATGATCTGACAGAGATCGCAGGTGGTGACCTTTGATCTCAGCTTCAACATGGCTGCTCTTCTGACGTCGTCCGCACAAGGACCGAAGCTGAGGACACACTACCCATAATCCTCGAGCCAACCGACGGTTGAGCCAACGCCGGCGAACGGCGGTTGACGACGGCCAATGAGACGGAGAGGCTGGGGCACAGGAAGTGGCGTCAGAACGAGGATGGTGCAGGGGTCAGAGGTCAACGTCTTACAGTTCTTGGTCAAGTCCTGTAGTCTGTGATGATGGTCACACAGTGGTACAGTGTGTCCTCAGCTTTACTGTAGACCCCTGTGGACAACCAATCAAAATACACACAGGAAGTGATAAAGATGGCCGCCACCGCCTTCGTCCAGACCATGTGACTCGTGGTTCCGTCTTTTAACGCTAGCGCTACAGCAGGGAAACGCAGCGGGAATCAATGCTGGTAA